AGAAGGAATTTGGTTAAAAGGGTTATTTAATGAATTTGGTTTTGTTAAAGAAGTGGTTCTTTATTCTGATAGCCAATCTGCAATTCATTTAAGTAGAAATCCTGTTTTACACAATAGATCTAAACATGTTGATGTTAGATTTCATTTTATTAGAGATGTTATTTCACAAGATGTTGTGAAACTTGAAAATATAGCTACTAATTATAATCCTTCTAATGTAGGGACTAAGGTACTGCCCTTGAACAAATTTCTGGACTGCTTGACCTTACTGAATGTTACTGCATGCTGATCTGTAGATGTATTAAGTGTGCTTATGATGTCCTAAACGTGAGAATGACCACTGATGAATGTGAATCATTGTATCAAGGCGGAGTATGAAGGGAATTTGTAGCACAATGATGCAAGTGACCCAATGGGCTGAAATCTAGAAGGCCCAGTTAGTTGAATAATTTTGTTTATTACTTGGTGTAAAAACGTGTTTACTGGAATGCTTGAAACCGTGTTACAACTTACCTAATTTTGGATGTCCAGGATGTCACCATGTGTCGCCTCCACAGTCGTTGGATTGTGGCCGTTAGGTGACCCATAGGGCTTCTAGGGTTGGATCACCGTACACTTGCTCGAGATTTTTCTCTCTCTCGTTTCTGCGCCGTTTCTAGAGAATTCTCCTTCTTCTCTAGTGAAATCAAAATACTCTTTTGATTTCAAGTTACTCACTAAAACCCGTGTAATCTTGTGTGATTATTGATTGATCTGAGTTGTTATTAGTTCTTGTGTGAACTGTTTTGGCAAATGAGAGGTGTTGTGATTCTAGGTCGAGTCTGAGTGGTCATTGTTATTGAGTACCGATCACGACACCAGGATTCTTTTGTAACAGTTCTTTTGTTGGGTTCAACTTCAACATTTCAACTTAACCCTTTAGATTCGAGACATTTTACGTTTGAGCACCTCAATCCAATGTGTGTGTGGATACCCTGGTCATTGGATACAACTTATTAATTGTATATACCATAATTTTGTATTTGTTTGAATCATTTCTCTTTCGCTTCTTTTCAATTTACACAATACCGCTGCACGTTGGCACCGCATTTCATCACACTAGTGGAGTCTCTTTCAAGATCAAAAGATGAAATTGGTCAATCACTTAAAAAACCTTTAAATTATTATTTTACCTTTGATTGTTTGATGAATTATTTGTATTATTCACAAATAAATAGAGAAAAATCTAATAAATATTTATGGAATATTAAACGATTAATGGTTGCATGTAAAAGTGGATATAAAAGTTTTGCATAATTCATCATTTATTGTGAGAGTGTGACGTCAAAACTGCTGCAATTAATTTAGAGAATCATTGCTATTACTTAGTAAATAATTTTTTGTATGAGAATCAAAACTGATTTGTGTATTCAAATTATGACTATATTTTATTTGTTAGTTTATATTTTTATGATCTTGATGATTGATAAGTTAAACTTGTTGAATGTTTGATATATTTTTTAGGTATATATTACTAATTTATGGATATGGTACAAGTCTAAAAATTTTAAAAATGAAAATAGAACCAAACCAAAACCGCACGATTTTGTTGCATATCTTAAAAAAAGTCATTTTGTTCCATTATTGAAAAAAAAAAAATCATTAGTTCATAATTCGATTCTCTTGAAACCGAAACCAAAACCAAATGGAACGGCATCCACCCATAGAAAGCTCTCCCTTGTAAGTTGGTGCGCTCAATGATTCATATCGTTTTAACTGAATTTTGATGGATTTCAAGTTCAAAAATGTTGAATAAAATCATATCTTAATCTTATAATACAACCTATCAATAATGAAAATAATTTTATTGTATTACGAGCTTGTTTCGGAGGGATTAAAATCAGATTAAAATTGAAAATATAGTTGTTGGAGTTGACTTTTATTAGACGAGTGAGACCCAATAACGGCTATATTTTCAATTTTAATTGGATTTTAATCCGTACCAAACAAGCTTTTGTTTCCCACATTTATTTCAAATTATAACTATAGAAATTAGAGGAAATCACTATTTAAACAATATTTCATGAATACTTGTACTCACAAAAAAACATAAAAAACTTTCTCCATTGCGCATCCGGGGAATCGAACCCCGGTCAGTACCGTGGGAGGGTACTATGATACCACTACACTAGATGCGCTTTTGTTAGTTGTGAGTAAATATAATAAATAAATATATAACCTTGACTTTAGATATCACTATCGGTGTATATTAAATTAAAACAGTTTGGTAGAGTTGGTGCTTGCTTTTAGCTATTTTTATTCCTCAATTATTCAGTCAAAAAACAGCAATTAATAATAGACTGAGAGATGGGTTTATTAAAAACTTGTTCTTGGAAATTTCATTTCGTGTCCCTTTTATTTTCCTCTTACATTACTATTTCCAAATAAATGTAAAAAAAAAAAATATTTATGCTACACAAACAAGCTTAATGACAAGTTAAAAACATGAGAATATGTGTCGACACATAATTGAACAGTTTGAAAAATTAAAAAAAACACCCAAGCAGATGATGTCAAGTCAGTTTGTTCATTTTTTTTTCCAGACATTGAGCCCGTTCAAGCATCATTATTAAAATTTTTTTTTGATTATCAGATTAGTATATAAAATTTCTATTAAATTTATTTTATGTTCAATTATGCTTACATACTAACAAACAAGTTTTCCTTTCCATAAAAGTTATAATCGAAACCATTATCTTGATTTCAACAATATTTTTGAAACCATACATATATTTTTGCCGTGCTTTTTTTGAAAGATTTTCAAAATAAAATTGAATCCTTAATCCTTTATTCGTATTCAATACTGATGTTGTCGTTTGCATTCGAAATTTATGTTAAACTAGGAATAATTTTTTGTAAGTGTATTTTTTCCTCATTTTTTAATAACTTAAACTTTTAGACGTACTGATGTTATTAAAAACGTAATTATGATTAGACACAATTTGGACTTACTAGATGTTGAAAACTTGGAATTGGTCACTTATAAATTATAAACCACGAGGAACATGTGGTTTGGACCTCTTGTTAATGAATGCCTAAAATGAAAAGGTTTAAGGAGTCGAGGGATTGGGCATTAAAAAGTATGTGTCGATATCTCTGTGTATGTATTTGTCACTTGAGTATTGAAAATCTCGAGAGGTAGATGGCATATTCAATCAGTTAGTGCATGATATAATATAACGCAATAATAAAAAAAGATTTTAAATTCTTTTCTTTTAGAGTCATATTTCACGTTATTCAATTCTCTTTATGAGCTAGTTCATTAATGTTTTTGTAAAAGTTTCATGTATCAAAAGTTGATAAAAGAAAATGTCGATCTCATACCCAAAAAGCTTTTGAACGTATAAGACTATGTTTGGTAAAAATGTAGTTCACAATTTTAGTCGAATTGAATCAACTACGCGTAGCTTTGTCCATATTCGCACTTATTTCCATGCCTCATTGTTGACTTTTAGAACCCAACTAGTCAATTTTAATTAGGTTTTTTAAGGTCTTGTTGTTCTTTTTTCGTTGTCTGAAAATGAAGTTGTACTTGTCTAGAAAGTCCTACTACCAAATAGCCTAATATGATTGGCACAATTTTCCGTGGCACTGATAAACTGTTACAAAATCAATTCCTAATCTGTGTTTTCCGACTGAATAAAATGCACGAACACTAGGAAATTTGTCCGAAGGCGTTTGTTTTCCTTGTTCAGCTGGAATCAACATAGAATTCTGTTTATTCAACCACATGGAAACCTTAGCACTGTTCTTCTTCTTCCTCTTCTTTTCCTTTACGCAACCAGTTCTTTGTGCCGATGTTTGCACCCCTGCATCTTGTGACAGTGTTCAAGGGCCGAGAATCCGGTTTCCGTTCCGGCTGATAGGCCGGCAACCGGAGCATTGCGGCTATCCGGGCTTCCACCTTTTTTGCAACAACCAAAGCCAAACAATTCTTAGGCTTCCACTGTCCGGTGAATTTGTAGTAGACTACATAGATTACACTCGTCAGACCATTCTTATCGATAATCCTGATGACTGTGATCCAAAAAGAATCCTGAATTTCAGTCTTTCGCGAACTCCTTTTGGGGGTACCTATACGAGGAAAATCACTTTCCTTAACTGCTCCTCCGACTGGACAGAGTACATGTCATATGATCTTTTTCCATTTTTTTGCCTAAGTGGTGAAAACTATGTTGTTATGGCTATGGCTTCGTATTCATCAGCTCAACAGATTCCACCTTCCTGTCGCATGATTTCTAATGTTTCAGTTCCCACACAGGCACAGAACTATGTTTCTCAGTATCAGTCATCAAGGCAAATCAGGGTGGATTTTCAGTTGACGTGGAATGAACCTGGATGCAGATCTTGTGAAGCTAATGGCGGGATTTGTGGGTTCAAAGACAATACAGTTCTTGAAGTTGGTTGCTCAAAACCTCCTAATCATGGTAAGTTTTATTCTATCTAACATGGAGTGCTGGATTTTCCTCAGCTTTGCATCAGAAATATATTGAAAATAACAAAAAACGAAGCTTTGTCCCAATAAATTTTGTGTTTGGATGCATCCTTTTTTTGCACTTGATTTGGTTTATTGCTAAATATAGCTCAAAAATTAGGTCCGATCAACGGGACTAATGATCAACGGGACTAAAGGAAATCCTTCTATAATATTTCAATTCCAAGACTAATTCCATGCCCCAAATAGGTTCTGAAGTTTGCATGTGAACTCTCCTAGGAAAGGCCTGTTAAATTTGATTGAGAACAATAAGCTTGTTTTGCACAACAGGGCAGGCTCACAGCTTGTTAGAACCTCTGGGTTAAAATTTGTTCTCATTTTTAATGTTTCAATCAAATTAAAATAGATATTCATTGACAAACTATTCCTCAGAAGAGTTCTTTTCTTTTCTGATTCTAGTTTGCAGGCACGTCTCCCATGAGTCTCTCTCTCTCTCTCAGAGGGAGAGAGAAAGAGAGAGTTGGCAATGTTGAATGTGATAAATTTAGCTTTGGTAGTTAAACAAACAGTGGTCAAATGGTTCTGCTGGACCGAAAGCAATGTTTCATTATAATTTACATTAGTATACATTTAAATGTAATCACTGTCCAATCTGGTTGTGATACTCATTAATCTCGATTGAACTTATTCTGATCCCACAAATATGCTGAAAAGATTAAGGTGTTCTTTACCTTTTTGTACTAGCATGTTCAAGTCCATTCTTTAATTCTCAAGAACAGTCTTTTGATCATGATTGCCATTCTGATTATAGCCTGCTGTGTAACCTTGGAACCTGTTAGTCTTACAAGAGATTAATCGACACTATCTAAGAAAGTTATTACTGTATGTTTGGTAAACTCGATTAAATAAGATTCGACATGATAAATTCACGCGACCTTTTATTTAAATATTGACTGGATTGCGAAGACCGTGAACAGTAGCTTTAATAATGTTGGAATGAGTGAAAAATGGCGTCCATAAAATATAATTTATCCATGAAATGTATACCTAATATATACCAAAGGTGACATCAGTTTGGATTGTAGTATGATGATTCAAGGAAGATTATCCCACTTGTTATACGTCTTTATCAATAGATTAAACGAAATGATGAATAAAATAGTGCTCAAGGCTGTGTTGATATTGTTGCTGCTGTTTCTCCCCAGTATTTTGTATCCTCCAAGAATGTTATATTATAGCTTTGGTACCTTTACTCACAGCGTCTGTTGTTATATTTATGTTTCAGGTCTTCCCAGAAGTGCCAAATATGGGATTATCATTGGCGTTGGAATACCGGGACTCTTGTGCTTAATCGTACTTGCCTGTTTTGCATTTGGTAGGATCAGGGCTTTGAGTCACCGTCGTTTAAACATTAGTGAGCTCCCTACCATTACAATCTCTCAGCAGCCGGTGGTCAGAGCTGCTGGCCTCGATGGGCCAACCATCGCGTCTTACCCCAAGACAGTGCTCGGGGAGAGCCGAAGGCTTCCAAAGTCTAGTGACAGCACTTGTTCGATATGCCTATCCGACTACGAGCCCAAGGAGACATTAAGGTCCATTCCAGAGTGCAACCACTATTTTCATGCCAATTGCATAGACGAATGGCTTAAGCTCAATGGAACATGCCCCGTATGCCGCAATTCACCGGAGAGTTCAATTGGGACGCCTTGCTCGTCAATGTCTTCCTCGTATTCATTGTCATCCTCGGACCATCATTAGATCGGCAGTTTTCGTTAGCGTTATACTTACATTGATATATGCATATAATGAAATTAATTGAGTTACAGTGCCAATTTTGCTATGTTGTCGATTGACAGTTGGATTAACAAATCTCTAAATTTCGTGGAAGTTGTGGGCTGGTTGGGGGTGGGAATGAAGTAAATTGGGTACCCTCCTTAAATTGGATTATATAAGCCCCCGTTTGGCACCCATTTTTTTTCTCATTCTCATTCTTTTTCTCTTTCTTGATTTCAACCACACATTCTATCAATAAAATAATATTACACATAAACCTAAAAATTCTCCTTATTTTTTAACCACACATTCTTCAATCAATCACTATTCAAAAACACATTCTTCCACAAAAATGGGTGTCAAACACCCCCTAAACTTGCGAAATCTACAGATTCCGCATATGTAATCCACAATATTTGCATGAATATAACAGGACAATACAAAAGATACGTTTTTAACTTATTTTTATTTCTTAATACTGTACAATGGTGTCCATCCTCCTTACAAAACAAGCCATCAATGCTTTAATGGACAATACAGCTATTTCAGAGCAGTGTTAAGTAGCTAATATCTTCATTACTGGATTAGTCAACTTTCAAGGAAATTTAGCCTATACTATTGCTCTGTCGAATTGCCATCTTCTTCGTTCTCTTTAGTTGCTTCATTAATGCAAGCCGTTCAGAAGAGTAGGGTGAAGGAATCTAGTCAACAAGATGACTATGTAAGAACTTGGCGAAGATTAAAGAAATATAGCAAGAGCAAAATTATGAATGGATGAAATTTACCAACGATGGCATGTATCTCTTGATTGCTGCTAACATGGCTGCATGACCTACAGCAGAAACCTGATAATTGATAAAGAATGGTGAGTTAGCAAACTCTCTTCAATGTCATGAATTAAAATTAATCCCAAACCTGAGGGCTATAGAAACAAAACAGAAAGCAGAAATGTGCACGCACAAACAAATAAATCTCAGTGAGAGCTATATCCACATGCCGCTGTTACAGTTTTTACTAGAAAATGTGAAGTAAAAATTTACAATGAAGATCTCGGTCTTCCCTCGGTCTCTATCTATCTCTGTCTACTATTACAAAAAAAGCCCGCCCAAATCATTTATGTAGTGTGAGCAACCAGGTCGATCTGCAGTTGAGGAAAAAGTGACAGTAAAATCAAGCTCCAAATAGTCCAATGTGCAAGTTAAAAGATAGTGCAAAGTGCTTCTCCAGGCCTCATCTAAGTGAATACGTCATCAGCCAGGGGCGGAGCCAAGGGGGGGCCTGGGGGGTGCCTGGCCCCCCCTCCCATTTGTGACCAATTTTTTTTTTTTTT